TCAGCTACAGTGAATGTGAACGTGGCGGTGGCGGACAGCTTCCCTGAAGTGCTCTCGGAATTCAGTGACTTTTCACAGGACAAGGATTACAATGACAACCTGACTTTTTATTTAGTCTTGTCTCTCGCTGTAGTTTCCTTTCTTTTCATCGCCTCAATAATACTAATTCTGGCTGTGACTTTTTATAGATGGAGGCAAAGGAGACTGTTTTACAGGTCCAGCGTAAATCTCCCTGTTATTCCAAGCGCCTTTTACCCTCCCCGTTATGCAGACGCTGGAGCTACAGGAACCTTACAGCACGTGTATAACTATGAAGTGTGCATGACGACTGACTCTAGAAAGAGTGATTACAAATATATCAGACCGTGTAGCCAGAGTCATTGGCCAGAGCCGGAGATCTTAAATCCTGATCCTGCCGGAACTCAAACAATACCTCACGCACAGAAGGAGAAGGACCCTGACGAGGATACCCAGGTCCAGGTGAGCTCTAGAGAGGGCAGCTTCTTGTTATAGATTCCCGGTGTTTTTATTTGCATGTGGGAGTGTACACTGTATCCGAACATTAGGTGAATGGTCTATGAGCCTGGTTGTATTGCGTAATTTGTTTGTCAACTTGTGAAAGAGTCATACAAAAGTAATAAAAATACAAAGAAAACCTACAAAACGTATTTTTTACAAAAAGCATTTGTACAGTAGGTAGGTACTGGGTACACTCCGTGTTCCATAGTGACAGGGAGAGGCAGGAGCAATCTTTACCTGCGATTTAATTAAGTTAAAAAATAACTTACCTTCTGATTCCTTCTTGATTTCCCTGTATTCCTTACAATGTATTCGCGTATATCGTGCGATACAAAGATGATGATTAATAATCACTTTATTATTATATGACTAATAGTCATACTGTGTTTCTAAGAGTTGCTGTTCTGTTACGCATTTGTTCATTAATTGCAATATTTCCAGTATAACATTGAGAAACGCATTGCAATTTTCTCTCGGAGCTCCAAGTGCCGCTGTTGATCAATATGAGGATATTCTTCCCTCGGCCCTCCCTAACAGAGCACAGTAAAGCATACCCAGAAAGGGAAGCTAACCGTCGTCTGCGCTTAGAATACAAAAGAGGAGCTGCTAACCAGAAATTCGCCACCTTCCAGGAGAACAATATTTTACTAATTTTATTTGAATTGTAACAGGCAATACAAGGGCCACTCAGCGTGGATTTATTTTTTTGCATCCGAATTAATAGAGGAAAGGCATGGAATTACTTTACTTTCAAACCGCTATCGGAAAAATAGCATGGATATCGGAATGGAGATTACAGATACTTATGTTTTTTGCGTGTGCGATACAAGCTTCATACGGGCAGGTTCAATATTCTATACCAGAAGAGATGACGAAAGGTTCCTTTGTGGGGAATATCATACAGGACTTGGGACTGGATATTAAACGATTAAAATCGGGTAGAGCTCGGATCTTTACCGAAGATAGCCGTGAGTATATTGGGCTGAATACTGACAAAGGGACACTGATAGTGAAAGACAGAATTGATAGGGAAGAATTATGTGGCAGTACGTCTCCATGTACATTAAATTTTCAGATTATCTTTGAAAACCCAATGGAGTTGTACCGTATTAATGTGGAAATACTAGATATTAATGACAATCCTCCCGTTTTTCCAAACAAAGAAATTAATTTGGAAATAAGTGAGTCGTCTTTTCCCGGGACGCGATTCTTATTACAGAGCGCAGTCGATCCTGATGTAGGACTAAATTCTCTCCAGAGTTACTCACTGAAACCTACTGACCATTTTATATTAAAGCTGCACTCTCGCTCTGACGGCAGCAAATACATAGAAATGATGCTCCAGACTGCTCTGGATAGAGAAAAACAAAGAGAGCACAAACTAGTCTTAACTGCAGTAGATGGTGGAAGCCCCCAGAAGTCTGGTACAGTTCAGATAAATATATTTGTATTAGACGCAAATGATAATGCCCCTGTTTTCAGTCAGGGTATTTACAAAGCAGCCGTGAAGGAAAACGCAGAGATCGGTACAGTGGTGTTGAAGGTCAGTGCGTCTGATGCTGATTATGGAACTAACGGAGAAGTGACTTACATAGTTTCTCACAGCAAAGACAGTACTTCTGAACTGTTTGAGTTAAATCCCATTACTGGTGAGGTGAAAGTGTATGGGAAGCTGGATTTTGAGAAATCTAAAAATTACGAAATCAATGTAGAGGCAAGAGACGAAGGAGGCTTAACAGACTCCAGTAAAGTGTTAATTGAAATTCTAGACGTGAACGACAATGTTCCTGTGATAACGCTAATGTCATTTTCCAACCCTATCCGGGAAGATTCTTTGCCGGACACTGTCATAGCAATGCTAAATATCAAAGACTTAGATTCAGGAAAAAACGGAGAGCTTCGATGTTCCATTAGCGAGAATGAACCTTTTCAAATTAAATCTTCTTCTTCTAATTTTTTCAGTTTGGTCACAAATCAGGTTTTGGATCGCGAAAAAATCTCAGAGTATAATATTACGATTATTGCCACAGACGGGGGATCGCCTCCTTTTTCTAGTAACAAAACCCTGACTCTCAGAATATCGGATGTTAACGATAATGCTCCTGTGTTCGAGAAAAGAATATACAGTGCACATATTATGGAAAACAACTCACCCGGGGTATCTATATTTTCAATTAAAGCTGTGGACGCGGACTCCGGGCCTAATGCCCATATCTCATATTTCCTGCAGGATACAATAATTAGTGGAATTTCGGTTTCGTCATATTTTTCAGTGAATTCGGAGAGCGGCTCCATTCATGCGGTGCGCTCTTTTGATTATGAGAGAATTAAAGAGTTACAATTTCAAGTCAAAGCGCAGGATGGAGGTTCTCCGCCAATGAGTAGTACTGTGGATGTAATTATCTTTATTAAGGACCAGAACGACAACTCTCCACAGGTCCTCTACCCAGTGCACACTGATGGCTCTCTGGTGGCTGAAATGGTGCCTCGTTCAGCAGATGTTGGCTA